CCCCCCCCCCCCCCCCTAGACATACCCGGGGACTTCACTTTTTACCTCAGTGAAAGGTAATGCCGTGAAAGCCCCGCCCCACGGGGAAGAAAAGAAAAGTGAAGTCCCCGCGTCATCGTTTGAGCAGTCTATTTTAATGTCAACTGGATATTTCATATCTTTTGCAGCAGAAATATGTTCGCCGACAAAGAAATATATTTTCAATTCTATTTCTTAAAAGTGTTCTAGTGTTGAAAGCTTTTGATTCTGTGGATCATCGTATCCTTACTCTAAAACTATCAGCCCTTGGTGTTTGCGACAAAGCTCTAGACTTCTTCACATCTTATTTGGGGATAGACAGCAGCAATGTGCAGTTAATAATTTCATCACCTCACCAACTAAATTAAAATATGGCGTTCCTCAGTGGTCTGTTTTGGGACCCATTTTGTTTTTAATATACATTAATGATCTTCCAAAGTGCCTTCGTCATACAAATCCAAGTTTGTATGCCGATGACACCCAATTATGCACTACAAGTGAGAATGTTGATGACTTAAATGATAAGTTAAATGATGATCTTTCATCTCTGAATAATTGGTTGATAGCAAATAGATTAAATCTACACTCAGATAAGACCAAATGTATGCATATTGGTACTAGACAGAGATTATCTAATTTCTCGTCTGGTTCTGAGATCATCGTTAATAATCATGTTATTTCTCCAAGTAATCAAATTAAATCTCTCGGAGTAATATTGGACAAAAATTTAAATTGAAGCGATCACACTGACCTAATTATTAAGAGAGTTAAACCAGGCTTAAGTGTTTTAAGAAGTGCTAAACGCTTTGTTACACAAGAAATTTTAATCAAAATCTACAATGCTTTAATAGTGCCTCATTACTGCTCTGAGGTTTGGGGTGATCTAAATAAGGGTTTAGCAGATAAGTTACAAAGGCTACAAAACAGAGCTGCTCGTATCATCACTGGTGCCACTTATGACATCAAATATACAGATGTTCTGAAGTCTCTAGGTTGGTACCCACTCCATATTAGAAGAGCCTTACTGTTGGCAAATTTAATGCATAAATGCATGAACAACCAAGCCCCCCAAATTTGTTTAATTTTCAATCGGAATCGACATCACACAATCTTAGAGGCTCAACATCGAAACTTTTTATCAAAAGATTTAATGCTGAATATGGAAAGAGGAGTTTAACTTACAGGGGTGCTAAACTATGGAACAATCTTCCTCATACTGCTAGAAATCAAGCAAGTTTTACATCTTTCAAAAATGCTGCTTTAGCAGATTTCATCTCAACTAGCAAGCTCTGACCTTAACTCTGAATTTTTTGATATTATTGTTCTATTAATATTCGATATTATACATTAATATTATATCTTAGTTACTTGTCTTAGTTATGTATATTCATCACGACCGTCATGTAAACCAATTTTTCTGTTGGTATTATCGTGTATAAATACAGGATGATTGATTGATTGATTGATTGATTGATTGATTGATTGATTGATTGATTGATATTTATTCCATGTAGTACCAGCTTATTTGCTTCCCTTTTTGTTTGTCTTTTTCTTTTTCTGTCTTTTTCTCTATCAAAGAATAGAATGAAAAGCCATTTTCCGATCGATGGCTTAGAAAAACATAATTATTAAATGCGATGAAAATCTTCGGTTGGGCTTCACGAATTTGCAACGTCCCCTGTGATTGGTTAGGTTTAGGGGCGGGGTTGGGGAAAGGTCATTGTTTTCTATTGTTCTACACATGTGTGTCCTCCAATAGGATCACATCTTGCAAATCCGTGAAGGACGACCCAAAATTTTACCGTCTTCGTCTCATCCATTATGACTACGTAAACTCACACGAGGAGCTCACTCTGTCCCAGTCCCCAAGTCCCCCAGTCGCAGTCAGTCCCTGGGATGCAGCCGAAGCTGTGAATTGAAGCGCTTTCCCCGACCACCAGGGAACCAAATACATGTGAAAATGCGGTGAAATCCCCGCTATGCCCCCGGGTATGCGTCGGGGGCGGGTTAGGGGATGTCAAATGACTGGTGCATAACTTCCAGATCACAACTCAACTTTTATCGGAGAGAGTTTCGGAGGAATTTCATTTCAGGGACATTTCTTTTTTTCTATTTTCATTGCGGTAAAAATACGGTCCATGTAAAAACAAGACTCTTCATATAGATAACCAAATATCATTATGTAAAAAAAGAAGTAAAAGTAAGAATATATTTTGTTTACCATTTTTTTAACCAGTTTCAAGTCTGTTTTGCAATGTTGATTTGTCCATAAAAAGTTCGAAAATCTTCAAAATTTGGATTTTAATGAAAGACATCCAAGGTAAATTTCACTAAACCTGATATTCTATTGGATTATTTGTAATTATCTTTCGTTTTTCAAGTAAAAATAACCAGGAATTCAAAGCGTAAAATGTATTTTTCGTAAACATCCAAATACATAAGTAATGTTCAAAACAATATAACCTGCCACAAGTAATTTGTTTGCCTTGAGCATGCTCAAAAATTTTGAGCACTCCCATGGACATACATTGTATTTCTGTCTTAATTTTATGGTGCCTTGAGCCTGCTCAAAACTTTTGAGCATTCCCATGGACATACATTGTATTTCTGTCTTAATTTTATGGTGCCTTGAGCCTGCTCAAAAATTTTGAGCATTCCCATGGACATTATATTTCTATCTTAATTTTATGGTGCATTGAGCATGCTCAAAACCTTTGAGCCATCTGGTGGTAAAATTTATCATATAATGCCAAATAGCTTGTATAGGAGGATTTATACAGCTTGTTTAATAATAAAAAAGGATACAGATGGACGTGAAGGATTAAAAGTGTTAAATTTAAGCTGGTTGTAACATTGCATTTACAAAAAACACTGAACCGTGTCTTCTCACAATGTTTTGTAGTAATAACCATGGCAAGCGATCACTGAAAAACCCTTCATTTTGTTTATCCTTAGCTTTCTGGCTGTCAAATTGAGCAAAACCACGTTTCTTTCAACCGAGAATTCCAGTCACAGTGACACTCAGTTATCTACTTTTGATCACTTTCGTAAAGATAATCAATTCTGAAATCTTCTATTAATATTTCTATTCAATCTTTGGACATTTCTTTGTTTTTTGTTTTA